TATAATTATAATATGGTAAAATGCAGGATTGTGTTGAGGTAGCTCAACTGGGTCGTAAGGCACATGAGCCAAACCACCTCAAAGTATTGAATCCAATGTGTTTGCTAGTTCAACAAACTATCTTATTAAACAATCATTCTCTTGTTATTTTTTCAATGCGGGACTCTAACAAAGTAGTTTCAATGCATTATGTTCTTACCTCCGTTTAGGATAGAGTGGTGGACTAGTTTGATCCATTTTTTCATGTAGAGTATTACTACGTACTATATTAGTTTCCATTTAATTGAGCTTTACCTTTTGTTTTAACTTGTGTCCAGTTATAATGAAGACTGGTGGATGGTTTTATAAGGACCGGTTAGGTCGGTCTAGGGGTCCCATGGAGTTAATACAGCTTAAGACTGCATGGGCTGGTGGAATCATTGACAGGCATACTTTCATTTGGGGCGAGGACATGGACGAATGGGCACCTATTTCCATGGTTTATGGCTTGGAACGTGCTATTGCTCCATGGGAAGGTTCATTTTCACTTTCCACCGCCATTTCTCTTTTAATTTGTTTTCTATTATTAGTGGTTTTTATTAGTGAATGAGTTATAGAGAATAGATTAAAATTATACTACGTATAATTCTTATGAGTGTGGTTGTATATGGCAAACTCAACCCTCAAAGAGCCTAGAGGATGAGCCTTAGAGACTTGACATGTTTTGGACTAAGTAAAATCCCTATAAAGTAAATACAGTCTTTAATCTATTACAATATTATTAGTAATACTCTCTAAAATAAAATGCCAATTCTGATAGGAAACTAATACTAATAATAATAATAATAATAATAATAATAATAATAATAATAATAATAATATGACATCTGTCGCAAATCAGCTTGCTAGTTACGGTTTATGAGGTTTTATTGATGATAAGGTAACTGTCCCCCGATAAGATTTAAATTAGTGTTAACAATTAATACCTACATATTTAGAAACTGCACTAAAATCCCTACTGAACCACAAAAACCGAATTCAAATGTGATAAATGGTTGACACAGAAAACTAGAGAATAAGAATGAATTAAGTTGGCCACATGAATAGTTATATGACAATCTATTTTGGGATGGAAAGAGTATCATCTAGGTAGTTTACTCGCTACTCGGTAGCTACTCGGTCAAGGACCGAGTAGCGAGTAGGACCGATTACTCGGGATTACTCGGTGATTACTCGGCCTAGTATTAATTAAATATAAAAAATATATTTAAATATAGTAGTCTTAAAATATAGTAATAAAATTGTCTTAAAATGTTTAGAAGTGAATAAAAGGATAGAAATTGTCTTAAAATGCATATAATATGTATACAATACCAGAATACAACTTCAAGAAGCACGAGCAGGGGAAGAAAAGGCAAATATTTTCTGCAGTTTTTTGGCACCTACCGAACAATGAGTCCTCAAAGGTAGTTCCCTAAATGAAAATTGCAGCTCACCCAAAACCAAACGTGATGCTTTTTTGCTAAGTTATATTTTTCACCTTTTCAATTAAGAGATTTTATTTCAGCATTCAGAAACTCAGGTCGCAGGGGTACATTCAATACATTCACTTTAGTTGGCCAAAGACTTGAAAATGTACTATGAAAACACCAGTTTAAGAAGCAAAAGCAAACGAAGAACAATCCAAAATTCTTAGAGTTTATTACAGTATACAGAGAAGAATATAATAGGCAACATGAGGGAGAATAAGAAACAACACAGAGGATAATCTCAATTTAATTTTTTTCCTAGTGGAGGTAATGTTTTTTTTAATACCGAGTACTCGCGAGTAAATCGCCTTTTTGACCCACTGACCGAGTTGGCAAACTCGCCGAGTACTCGGCGAGTAACTCGGAATAATAACTCGGGCCGAGTAATGTGCTACTCTGCAAGGTCATAGGCCGAGTAGGGAGTACTCACCGAGTACTCGCCGAGTACTCACCGAGTAAATAACCCAGAGTATCATATATGTAAGCGTGTTGATGGTGAATGTGATTGATTGATTCGCAGCTAGACTAGGGGCAGCTGCCACAGCCTTCCTCCACAAGCTCCAGAAGGGTATACCTCCATGGGTTCTTCTCAAGGGGCACGAGAAGAAGACTTATAAACAACTCCAAGAAGAAGCTTACGAGAGCAAGAAGCGTGACATAGCTGTTATGGAAGCTAATGGTGGTATGTGGCCCGGTGTAAGGATTCCAAGCCATGCCCTATTTCTTTGGGCAAGTGGGTCTGAACTGACATCATTATTGGATGAGGATCACATGCCTAATAAATTCATCCCAAAAGATCTAAGGTGCATAAATATTCTCTTTATCTCTCTTGGATTATGACAGTGTATATCCCATTGATCGAACTGGTTGACCAGGTTTTTTGTGGTTACCTGGACGACCCGCTATGATAGCTAGTTTACAGCTTTATGTGTTTGTACTTTCAGCTCTAGATATTGTGCGCACATATTGTACTAGACACTCAACCTTATATATAGTTCCCTTTGCTACAAGTGTTCCCTCCAGCCACCTTATGATCTTGTCCGACGTGCCTGACTGATTGAATATGTTTAGTCTGCTGAAGTTCAACCGTTTAAGTGAGGAATGCTAGATGCAAATAAAACTTCACTTTTTTACACCCTCTCTATTATTGGCTCAGAATAACTTTTTACAATAACCAAAAATCAAATCCAGTGACATGGAACAATAATAGAGACTGTTAAAAAGCGTCTGTACTTTTCACCATTTCTAAAAATGGTTTTAGGGCTAAAACATCTGAATTGATTGAATGTGTTGAATTATGAAAAAAAATACTCTCCTTCCCGAAATTAAGTTCCTCGTTTGACTTCACGGGTTTTTAGGTAGAATAAGAAATAAAGTTGGTTTTTCAAAAATGCCCTTGGATTATTAATAGTTGTAGTACCCAAATGGGTATAAGAAAGAGGGTAATGAATAGTGAAATGGGGGTAACACACATCAATTCAATGAAGTGATGTGAGGGTAAAAGGGTAATTGAGTAATAAGGATGTTTTTACTTGGACTGTAATCTGTCCCAGACCAGACCAGACTTGGATATTTATAAAAATACAAAGAAACCAGACCAGCTCAGACCAGACCAGCAAATTACAGTCCAAGTAAAAACATCCTAAAAACTTACCAAATATAGAAAGAAGTTGAAGTGGGAACTTCATTTTGGGACATCCCAAAAAGGAAAGTGAAAACTTAATTTCGGGACGGAGGGATAATATACCCAAAGAAGCTAAAATGGTCCTCTTCATCCAACTAAACACTCTAACCTTGCTTTTTTCATATGCAATCAGTTAAGCGCGTGAAAGAATATAATTAGCAATTCTTAAAAAACTGGATTATTAGGCAAAAGATAAGCTTGCCAAATGGGTACTTAGAATTCCTTTCTATTTATGAGCAAGCATAATAAGGGTGTTGGTGCAGGATTAAATTGGCTGAGGTGATCCCTGGGCTAAGGCCGTGGGAGGTCCTGAGTGTAGAACAAGCAATGGATCAGATAACATATCGAGGGAGGTGGTATCGTGAACCTCTGGGATCATACACAACCGGACCTCCGTACCTTTATGACTGGAACAGAGATGCGATGATGATGTTAAAGGTGTTCTTTAAGGTCAGTAGAAAATTGTTGTACACGCTGGTGGACGACATCCCTGGATTTGATACTGTGTTGCGGATTGTCTTTGCTCATGATTATGCCAAAAAGATGAAGGAGAGGCGGAGAAGAGTGGCAGAGAAAACTGCTGTGGTGGAAAATAAAGTGTTTGGTCGCCCTCTGGCTGAGCTAATTGCAGACAGTGGTAAAAAGACAGATTGATAAATCCAATCCACTGGTGAACTCTTTGTGGTATCTTGGTGGTTGTTGCCTTGTTGGTAACGCGTAAATTTGCTCTGCATAATGTTTTCTGGTAACAATGGAGGTTTCTTCGCAAAGGGATTTTGACATCATCATACTTGAAAGCCCCAAGAACTCATGGTACTCATTCAATCATTCGTTACCTGGTGCCTCCCCCGGCCCCTCATGCCCCCGAAAACAAAACATAATAAGAACCGTGTTTGTTATAAGATTGTTCTCCGTAAGTTTATGTACTTTTGTATGCATGAACACCTCTATTTTATCTGATAGGCTGATACTGTGATACAATGCACTAACGCTTACAACTACTAGTCTACTACTTGCATTACTGTGGTTATATCTAGTTTGAGCAAAAGCAAACGTGTCTACGTATATGTTGCATATTATGATTTGTGTATGGCTTGCAAAATTGGGTTAAAATGTCATTTGAGATTCTGAGGTAAGGTTATGATCGTGTATTAGGGATGGATTAAAATGTCATCTAAGAATGTTGCATTTTTCCTTTTTGGTTTGTTCCATTAAGATTGTCCTATATTAAATTTTGTAAAAGTTGTGTGGTTCTAAATCATTCTTACTTTTTTAGTTGTGTGGTTCTAAATCATTTTTATTTTTTTTTTACTTTATGGATTCAATAGCAATTTCCTCGTTTTTTTAATTTCCTCGTTTTTTTAATAACTGCACCACTCTCGAACAGTGTAGTATTATTTAAGTATGTTGAATTAGAAGGTATCTTATTTTTAATTTAGTAGGCGCATATTTTATTATTTCTGGGTGGCAAAGCACCGGCTTTCTGACAATTAAGTGTCTAGGTGGAGGCTTGTGAATAGGGATGGACTGGGCCGGGCCGAACCGGCCCGGAACCGGACCGGCCCGCTACTGTGCGGGCCCGGACCGGACCGGGCCCGGTTGGCCGGTTCCGGGCTTTTAGCCCGTTTTGGCGGGTCGGGCGGGCCGTTTCCGGGCCCTGTTTTTGTTGAACCGGCCCGGGCGGTTCGGGCCGGGCCCGGTTCATTTTTTTTTTTTTTTTTTTTGGTTTTTTCAATTTTTTTTCTTTTCCTAGGGTAGGGCTGGGTGTTTTAGGGAGGTTTGGGGCGTGGGGGGTGAGGGGGGGGGGGTAAGGGAGATAACAAGAAAGTCAAAAAAAAAAAAAAAAAAAAAAAACATTGAACCGGGCCCGGCCCGGCCCGGCCCGGTTAGGCCCCGACCCGGTATCAACCCGGGCCGGTTCCGGGCCCATGTAACCCGAAAAAAAGCCCGCCCGGGCCCGGCCCGGAACCGGAACCGGCCCGGCCCGGGTCCATCCCTACTTGTGAAGAATTGGCGCATGCCTTGTCATCGGAAATAAATAAATACTAGGCATATACTTAAAAGAAAAAGAACTAAAATGAAATAGATTTCAGTGTAATGGAAGGAGAAAAGATAGAAATGGAGGGAGGGGACGGCGATACAAAGAAACGAGCTGAAGAAAGTAGCGAGTCTGCTGGTGGGGTCATCAAGAACTTCATCTCCGCCTTTGTGTCCGGCGGCGGTGGGACAAAGGAAGAAGAAGAAGAGACGGAGGGGAATAATATTATTGATTTAGTTGATGATCAAGAAGGCGCCCGTAGCGAAGGAGAAAGAGGAGGAAGAATCAACGGTTTGATTTCTAACTTCTTCAGCCACGTCTCGGGAGACGATGGGGAGGAGGAAGAGAAGAGGAGCCACGCGGATGAGGATGAGGACAAGAGCAGTGATACGGATGGTAGAGGCGGAGGAGGAGATGTGCAGCAAAATGACCACAGCGGCGGCGGAGGCGTTATAGATAGTATTATCTCGCACTTGCCAAATCCTCTCTCGGCAGGTATGATACACTCATACGCTGTCAATTACCAAGCGCCGCATTTCTAATTTGGTGAACTATCGCTTTTTTTACTTGTTCAAAATTTTTATCAGTTCTTTTTAATTAATGTATGATTTTTATTATTTATCTAATCATCTTTTGGGATTAAGGATTGTTATAATTCTCTTTTGCATACGCAATATTTTACTTTTGTATTGGCAAATTTGTCAAAAGTTACAAAGGAGCTGGTGTATTGGTCAAACCGTTAAAATTGTCGAAAATAAATATTGTTAAGTTTGGAATAAGAAAAGAAAAATGTAAGTGAGGAGGAAGTAAACAAGCCCACAAACTAATTCTTGAACAAAAATTCTTGTTGTATACACATCATTTTACACACATCCGTTATTTTTTGTTCGTGAATAGCCTCTTTTTCGGTTCACATATGAAGGTGTACAAAAAGTGTGGACAAATAGTTTCAAAACTAAAATGACAAACATGTTTAATAAGGAGTTTTTACTTCCTTCCGTTTCTCATGGACTTGAGCTTTTCATTTTTTCTACATTATAAATTTAAAATTTACTTTTTAACTCTTCAAGCTGCGAAAAGAAAACTGAAAAGCTCATAGATGCATGAACAGTCAAACTAGATTGCCTCATGTAGTTCCAACGGGTCTTCCCGTCGGACTTGTCATATACATTTTTACGAAGTGGTTTTCAATTATGTATTTAATTGTCCTCCCGATCCAAATTTAAGCTGAAATTTGGAGGGGACACAAATTAGATTTAATAAATAACATGCTCAAAAAACTTAATTAAAAAATTTCATTGGGAAGGCCCTCAAACAGACAAGTTCCGACGAGGCTTCCCGTCGGACTACAGGATCATTACTCTTTATATCATATGCTTTAGTTACTGTTACTGATGAGTTAAACTGCCTTAACTGTGTGTTCCAATTCTAACTTCTTTTTAAATGTGACTTTTCCGTAATAATATTACCAGAAAATGGGATTATGTTTACTTGTTTATTGAAATGTAAAAGGAACTATTATGACCGTACCCTTTTAGCAATTGTTTCAACTGTAGTTATTGAGTGATCATTTTTCATTTCAAAATCAATTTATAATATCACGACCGACACGACGTACATATCATACTATACCATGTTTTATAAAAAGTAGGCTAAAGGGGTAAATTAGCCCTCGGAATAACTTAAAAATTGCAATTCATCCCTTATTTAGGAGGTTCTGTCCGGCCGTCGCCAATTGGGGCGCGGTTCCTAGTGGAATTTTTTATGAATTTTTTGAGCATCTTCTACATTAAGTCTAATTTACTCATTCCCAATTTCAGCTAAAACTTCAATCGAGAAGACGGTCAAATGAATTTTTGAAGATAATTGCGCAGTTAAAAAGCGCAGTACATTTCAGAAAATCATTTGACTGTTTTCTCGGTTGAATTTTTATCTGAAATTTGATATGGGTAAACTAGACTTAATGAAGAAGATGCTCAAAAAAATCATCAAAAAATTACACCGGGAACCGCTCTAATTGGAGACAGCCGGACAGAGCCTCCTAAGGGCATCCACATCCATAGATTATTTTAGAGATCATTGTGATGATGTGGAGGATCTTTTTTGAGATTATGGTTGAGAAGTTAGGATTATTTGTAGAAATTATTTGATAAAAAATCTGGTATCAAATTCCCTAGTTAGTTTTTTTGCGTTTTAAACGCGTTTTAAACACATTTTTTAAAAGGGGGGGATGTCGGTCCGTTTAAAAAGGAAAAAAACTCTTACTTCCCGTGTAAAACATATTTTTCCCGTATTTTACAAAAAAAAACATAAACATGAATTGACCAATTGAATGAATGCATTAAATGCATACAAGATCAACAATAGCATAAAAGTAAAAATGAAAACGTCCTCCCCGTGATCCCGTGTTTTTGTATTGTTACAATGCAATTATTAAAGACTAAAATTAATTGCATGACGGCTAAAACAAGCATCCTGAAAGACTAAAACTTATGTAGTCTACAAGCAAGCATATTCAAGTTAAAAATTTTCCCCTCATCTTTTCTTCTTCTTGTTTTTTTATTTTGTTATCCATATATATATATATATATATATATATATATATATATATATATATATAGGGGTGAGATCTCATACTAACTAGTTCTCCCATGCTAACTCGTGAAAACTCCGACAACCGGTGGTATTTTTGGCTCAAAGTTTTTGTGTATGTTCCTCATCAAGTCTAGTTCATCTATACCAAATTTGAGCAAAAAATTCAATCGGGAAGGTCATCAAATGATTTTTGAAAGAAAACTGGTCCGGAAAATACATATAAAATGCAGTTTTCTTTCAAAAATCATTTGATGACCTTCCCGATTGAATTTTTTGCTCAAATTTGGTATATATGAACTAGACTTGATGAGGAACATACACAAAAACTTTGAGCCAAAAATACCACCGGTTGTCGGAGTTTTCACGAGTTTGCATTTTAAGCATGGTTTGCATTTGATCTCTTACCTATATATATATATATATATATATATATATATATATATATATATATATATATATATATATATATATAATTATATATATATATATAAAAATTATTTTTATCCTTTTTTTTAATTATTTTTAAGTATATTCATCCTGTTTTATATTATCTTTTTTATAATAGCTTATTTTTTATCTTTATTTTCTTTCTTTTCCCTTTGGTGGTGATATCATGTATCGATTCATGTTAGCCGACCCCAATATGTTTTGGGACTAAGGCTTGGATGTTGTTGTTGTTGAAACTTTTACACAAAAACAATAATAAGCGTAACAATCACACAACTTTTCTCATATGTCATTGCCATCTTAATGAAAATGACGAGTTTAACTTGAGTGTTATTTGATGATCATATAAAGATAATGATTTTAACTTAATCTCATTCTACTGTTATTATGTCTTTTATTTTTTTTGACATTATTTTGCAAAATTTTGTCTTGGACTTAATTACTATTTTTATTTTTGTCATCAACTTATGCAATTACGAACTACGGAGTATTCTTTTATGTAGTAATGAGATTTGCTACATGAATATGTGTATACTTATACTTATTTCTTTTTAGTATATATGTTATTTAATTTTATGAAATATATTATTTAAATGTTCAAAATAATACCCGTATTTTTTGTCCGAATTTTTGTAATAGATAACGTATTATACACGCATACGTATTTACACGTTTTTTAAAAGTCAACGTTTTTTTGAACGAATTTTTGACCGTTTTTTATTCATCTTACCGAATAAAACACGTACGTATTAAACCTCGTTTAATTCCCGTACCGTATTTAACTAGCTAACTAGGTCAAATTCTAAAGCTAGCTTATTTGATGATTATTTCCAACTTTTAGGCTCCTCTTCCAATTTTCTAGACATACTCATTAATTGATTTGAAGAGCTCATGTATGCCATACGGAGTATTAAACACACTATCATTAAATCCAAATTGAAAAGTGCATGTGCTACGTGTTCAACATCCAAATTCAATTCAAGTGTTCATTGTTCAACATCCAATACATTGTTATTTAGCACTACTACAATTAAATACATTAATTGAAATATTATTAAAGAAAATACATTAATTGAAATGTTATAAATTAAAATATATAATGTTAGATACAAAAATTTATAGTAGTGTACGTATAGTATGTACTTTATTAATATACTATATAATTTGTAGTACGTATATTACATGTATCTAATATAGTACCATATATGTATAACTAGTAATATAGTTTGTGCATGTAGAGTGCATGTGTGTGTGAGAGTGCATTTAAGTTAGAGATTTTGAAATTAAGTGTATGTCTCATAAAAATTCTAGGTAAATTAAGATCATGAATGAGAAGAAAATTTTTGGTTTGGAGATTATTTGATATTATCTTATGTGGAAGTGACATGGCAATAATAGGCCATGAAAAACTGTAAATTTGAGGATCATCAATGTGGATGCTCTAAATAAGGGATGAATTGCACTTTTAAGTTAGTTTGAGGGCCAATTTGACTCTTTAACCTAAAAGTATGACACCGTTCTTTAACATGTTAAGTGTTTTTTTACTAACTTACTTATTACATTAATATATGAATGAAATATCATAAAAACTGAAATAATGGTGAGTATTAATGAAAAGTCCTGAGAAGTATGGTTGACAATACAATTTGATACTTTGGCTTAATGAACAGAAGGCGTCTATGTTGATCCATTCGCTTGTCCGCGACTAACGGTGGCGACTTAATTACCAGAATCATCTACCGTCAGGGGCTCACGGCATCAAGTCTTTGTATTTTGCATTACAATTATTGAAGATTCTACTCATCATTTTAACATCAATTTGCAGTACACTACAATAATATGGAGTATGTGTTAGTTTTTAAACTTATTGTTATGAAATTCTAACTAATTGATTAAGAATTATCAACCTTGTGATGTATTATTCATTATCTCCTTCGAATAATGGTTACAAAGCTGTAGACATTTCAAATTATTAGTTGTATGTTGAGGTTTAGTCCCGTAGATCTGAAAGCTCAACACCAACTTTGGATAAAAGGTGTATAAAATATGAAATATGAATAAGATGCACTCAAAAGCCTGCTTGTATTAGGGTAATTCACTGATTACACAAAAGAGGCCGAACGGTGCTCTGGAACAGTAACTAATACAAGATTGAGAGAGAGATAATCTAAGGCTCTGAGTATCAAAATGCTAATTCTTTATAATGTAGTTAATGCGCCTGTTTATACTAGATGAGGGTAGGTGGGGTGATGATGTGACCGAATCCAATGGTTGCTGTCTTTGCCACTTAAGCACCCATGCTCCTACTTGCTACCGCCATACTCTAACATTTAATGCAGCTTGCCACTTGCGGACTCCCCGATCGGTCTCTAGACTCCATGGACAGAGCTGACATTTGTTATTTGTACCAAGTAGGATATATAGGCCGTTCGGGCCTTGTCAAACGACATCCTTCCTTTGGTGGTTGACTACCCGTTTGGGCTCTATAAGTCTGGACCAAGTTCCTCTTTGGGCTTGCTCTCTCCCTTGGGCCCTTATCCATTCTGGGCCGGGTATTGAGCCGAAGCCCAATATCCCAACACAAGTCCCTCACTTCCGATGTCTCGAACGAGGTGAGGGCATAAGGAAGTAGAAAAAACCGCTTTGGTGCCGTTCGGGAAATAGCAGACGGGATCTCGCCGGTTCCCGATGCAAGGATTTGACGGTTATTTGTGGCTGTCGTTTCAGTTTCCCCAGAACCGTCATAATTACTTGCCATTCCGTTTCTGCGTGACACGTGTCCCTGTAACCGCTCCTCGTGACGTGTTTCTTCCTGATTGGCCAGCGAAAAGGTGCTTCCTAGCCTTTAAATTAGGCCCTTGGGCCTCCGGATCTGAGTTTCGAATCTCTTCCCTTCGCTCAGTTGCCCTGCCTTCTCTCTAAGCTTTGTTCTCAGTTCGTTGTTTAGATATTCTTTGCCCCTTCTTTCCCTTCTTTCTTCTTATGTTCGGCCGATATGTCTGTTCAACCAAATCCTTCTAGTTCCTCTGGCTCGGACCCCACTTCCAGAGAGGAGGTCCAGGATGCTGCAACTGATGCTGCAACGACTGCTACCACTGTTGATGCTGCGGCTGGTACTAGCGCCGCCGCTGAAAATTCAAGTGGCGACTCCTCTTTCGGCAGGGATTCCGATGACACAAAGTCCGGTGCTGATATGGCTTCCATGGCGGCGGGTCCTCCGGATGATCTGCCCCGTTACAATTTAGACCTAGACCTAATTAGGAGGAGGCGGAAAAAGCTCACTTCTCATAATAGGGCCCAAATTCCGGCCCTTATTCCAGACCCAGTGGACTTCCGTCTGCAAGCCGGGCTTCACCCAATGTGCCACCTCCCATGGATGGTGGTGGTCCACCTTGACTCAGTGAAAGCTGAACTTCGATTTCCATTGCACCCATTTTTTGTCTCGTTTCTGAACCATTATGAGATAGTACCGTCCCAACTTATGCCGAACTTCTACCGGGTAATGGCTGGATTCATCTGCCGATGCACGGATGTCAATGTAACGCCCATCATGGACCTGTTTCATTACTTTTTCAAAGTGGCTCCTCTGCAGACCCACGGGTATATGGCTGCTAGTGCCCGAACGGGCCATATTTTGTTTACAGACAACCTTTCCTCGATCAAGGGATGGAAAGATCAGTTCATTTTTGTTTCCGTCCCAGACGGTTTGATTCCAAAGAAATCGAATGCCTCCCCCCCAAATCTCCAGAGCCGTTCGTCTCTGAGGAGCTCGGTGAACAGATCATTGCCTTGGAGAAAGGCAAAGCCTATAAGATTATGGAGTACCTGACTTCCGATCGGCTCATCGAGGCCGTGATAGGTACTGCCCGAATTCCTGGAATTACTTGATTGAAACCCAAGTGCCATGGCTCGGGCACTCCTTCCCGTGCGAGAAACTTACATTAACTTGCCTGTTTCACACATGGCAAGACCGCTCGGTACTAATAATTTCCTTTTGTTTCCTTTCAACTCCCAACCCAGAGGCAGATATGGACGACAGCCGCTTGTTCGTAGTTGGCGGTGCAGGTAAGCGGAAAAGGAAGGGGGAAAAGGCCGATCAGGCCCAAACTTCCACGACTACCCAACAATTCCAGCCCGTTCGGCAGCCTCCGCCTGTTCAACAGCCCCAACCTATTCAGCAGGTCCCCCTCGAGCAAGCTAATCTTAAGGGAATGATGGTGGACAACCAGTTCGAGTCCGACCAGCTGCATCACTTTTCTGAGCATTTTAGTTCCGCTCAAGGTGCGAATATGGAGGCCGACCAGGCCAACATACATAGTCAGCTCGAACGGATCTCCCTAGAAGATCCCGTTCATGAACCACGTGGTCGTGGTTTCGATTCCCACAGACGGTGCCAATGTTGAGGTTTAGTCCCGTAGATCCGAAAGCCCAACATCAACATTGGATATTAAGGACGATGGGTTAAGTATAAAAGGTGTATAAAATATGAAATATGAATAAGATGCACTCAAAAGCCTGTTTGTATTAGGGTATGCTGATTACACAAAAGAGGCTGAACGGCGCTCTGGAACAGTGACTAAAACAAGATTGAGAGAGAGATAATCTAAGGCTCTAAGTATCAAAATGTTAACCCTTTACAATGTAGTTAATGCGCCTATTTATAATAGATGGGGGTAGGTGGGGTGATGATGTGGCCGAATCTGATTAGCTGTTGTCTTTGCCACTTGAGCACCCATGCTCCCACTTACTACCGCCATACTCTAGCATTTAATGCAGCTTGCCACTTGCGGACTCCCCGGTCGGTTTCTAGACTCCACAGGCTGATGGACAGAGCTGACATTTGTTATTTGTACCAAGTAGGATATATGGGCCGTTCGGGCCTTGCCGAACGACATCCTTCCTTTGGTGGTTGACTACCCGTTCGGGCTCTCATAAGTCTGGACCAAGTTCCTCTTTGGGCTTGCTCTCTTTCTTGGGTCCTTATCCATTCTGGGCCGGGTATTGGGTCGAAGCCCAATATCCCTACAGATCTGTTTCTACTTTTGCAGTCATACTTGTTAAAGAAACATATCCTGGAAACACACCCCTTTCCTCTTCCAGGATCACTCGTTCATATGATTTTTGTGCACATACTCACGCACTCATAATACCGAAACCCAAGCTCATGATATGATTTTATATTATATATAAATCGTTTAAGTGAGATTACTTCACTTTTACGGAGTATACATTTATGAGTAGCCTTCTTGGATTGTCTCTTTTCACACCATTTAGCATGCTCTTCGCTCACACTCTTAAGAGATTTTCTTGGGATCTTTTTTCCCACAAGAAGGCTCTCTTATAATATAATTCTCCTTTCAAAAAAGGCTCGCTCCTTGCCAAACCACTACCGATCATAGGTAATGTAGGTAATGGTTTACTTTGAATCGTATTGTTCTTGGTGGTTATTTCAATGGGGATATTATAATGTGTTAGTTAGAATGGGTTTTACTCACGTTTGATGATCTGAAATGAGACTATTCCACTTTAGCGGTCACTTCTTAATGAGTTGGTGCTAGAGATCCCTTTAAGCCATCGGGATATTCAGACATAATTTATTCGATTTAGGATATCTGACTGAGTTGATACAAAGAATATTTATGGAAAAATTTACACGGAACTTTTTACACTAAAAATTTCGACATTTTTAAAATTTAGGCTGAGCCAGGGCCAGGGTTAACCCTCCCTAGTTACGCCCATGGAGATCCGATCTTTTTATGTCAAGAGCTTTTATCGTGCCTTAGATGCTTTTAAATTAGATTGAAATGTTCTGATTTGTTTTGTTTAGTGTAGTCTGAAATGCCCTAATTTGGGAATGTTTGGTCTATGTGTAAACTATAGCTGTTGAAGTTGGGTCTGATTTGTTTGCGTATGCTCTAGCTAGTTTGTTTAAATCTGAAATTATCCGTTCTAGTCGAGACTGAAATAAATCCAAGTAAAAACATCCTTCCAAATAGAAACTTGCTAATAATTGGTCCGGTTAAAAAAAATTGACAATAATTGTGTGATAATTTTTCCATCACTTCCAATGGAGCCAAAGACTTCCTGTTTTTTGGCTTGATAATATGATGGAATGAAGAAAAGTGACTTATATCACTAAATGGTCTGCGCTTCTTTTTTATGAAACAATAGTTAGACTATGCTATTTTTATGCAATTTTTATCATGGGCCATTCAGAAACAGTCTCTCTGTGCTTGGTACATGGTACGACGGCGTACATCCTGTTGGGATCCCTCCTTAATTGGAGAGGTTCTAGAAAACTCTATAGCTTTCTAGAGAAGTGTGTAGTTTTCTAGAATGTTCCGGAGAATCCTAGAGAAGCCTAGAACTCTCTAGAAGCTTATGGAAGAGTGTGGAACCTCTGGAGTATTCTAGAGGTGCGTGAAACCTTCTGGAAGCGTATGAAAGAGTATATATGGAAGGATATGGAAGAGAGTGAAAGAGTATAAAAACCCTTGGATACAAATCATTCCCACCATTCATTGTGAAGATGGAGTAGTATAATTAGGGGTATAAGGCTTTATTGCTAACCATACTAGCCAAGAGAGAATCCACTTCTCAGAGTGAGAAAGTTAGAGAACCTCTTTGAGAGAGAAGAGAGATAGCTTGATAAGTTTATATCCTCAAGTTTGAGTGAGCCATCATAGAATGAGACAACTTTGTAAGGACATCCTTGTAAATCCTACTATTCTTTTGTATAGGTAGTGGAAGGATCTCCGAATAGGAGAATTTAACTCGAGTGATCTCATTACTACCTTGATTCCTACGTGCCTATCTTAATTTCACGAAGCGGGAAAGTCCGGGGTT